TGCATCAAAAACGTAATATAGAAATTAAAAAAAATCCCAGAAAATATGTGATCCCCCAAAGTTTAAACCAAATTATTTGGTAAAACCAAATACCATGTTGTCTAGATTTGCCTATGTGGGTGTTAAAACCATAAAGGAAAGCAAAAGAATGATTAACAGACTCAGGAAAGGCATTTTTCCCTGCAGTGGAGGGACGGGATGGGACTGGGCAGCTTAGTGGCGCCTCTGAGGTCCTGCCACACTGTTTTCTGGGTGGTGTCCGGGGAGGTGCTCATTTTATTATCCTTTAAACTGTGCGTATATAGCTTATTTATTTTTTCGTATATGTATTTCACAGTAAAGATGTTGTTTAGGAGAGTGAATGGTTCCTGAAGGTACACAAACTTTTGTCATGGGGAGCAAGTCCTTGAGAGGGGAGGGAGGGTAGGACTCAATGACAAGAGAGATTGGCCTTTGATGGCCATAGGAGCCTTTTCCTATTGTAAAGGGGACGGTGACTCTGGGTACAGATTCGGGTGAGTCTGTAGATTGGGAGATTGAAGGTCGTGGCGCAGAGCTCCTAAACCCTTGTAAATTGCCAGTGATAAGAGCGCCAGGAACATCTTTTGTCCCGCTGAGGGATGAGGCAACCCTGGGTGGGCTCCTGTGTGGGGGGCTGGTCACCAGGAAGACCAAAAGCCATGATTAGAAGCCTGGAATTTTCAGGGCGGCAACCTCCCCCCGCCTCCCAACTCTTCAGAGAGGGAAGAGGGGCTGGAAACGGAGCTAATGGTCGATTACGTCTGTGTGAGGAAGGCTCAATACAATCACAACAGTACGGAGTTCAGGGGCTTCCAGGTGGGTAAACACATGCCCGTACCGGGAGGGTGACACATCCCAGCTCCATGGGGACGGACACTCCTGTGCTCAAGACCCCACCCTGTGCATCCTCATCTGGCTGTTCTCGTCATCTATATCCTGTATCATGCCCTTCAATAACCTGGTGAATGTGTGCTCCCGAATTCTCGGAGCTGCTCTAGCAAGTTAGTTGAACCTGAGCAAGGAATCATGGGAAACCCTGATCTACAGCCAAGTTGCACAGGAGTCGTGGGTAACCTGGGGACCTACTGCTTAAGACTAGCACGTGAAGTGGGCTGCCGTCTCGCGGGACCGAGGCCTGACTCTGTGAGCTCTGATGCTCTCTCCGTGTAGTTAGGACACCCAGCTGGTTTCACGAAGAATTGCTTGGTGACCAGAAGGGTTAGAAGCGA